CCCAGAAGAGGACAGAACAGGGGTGTAATGGGGGGCAGGGCATAACACAGCAGGGTATGCTTCACAGTAGAGTGAACAGAAGCCTTTCCAATCAAGTGAATAGATGTTTTACCCACAATGCAAACTGCATCCCCACCCTGTCCCACTCCTGGTCTAGATCCAGAGGCTCAGTTGGCTGGATGGGAATCCTTCAGCCACCTGACAAGAAGTTCCTCATCACTACCATAGAATAGGGCCAGCTTTATTGCACTAAAAAAAGGTAAAAGACTAGAGGAGACTCCTCCTCTAGCAGGTGATACTAATACAAATACAAGATGATTGCTGTGAGACTTGAGCATCCTCTGTGCTGCCCTTCCATCTGGAGCTGGCTATGGGGTTCTATCCAGTGTCAATCAAGCCTTGTGTATCTCAGTGCAGGTCTGAATATATTTTGCTTTACTTGACCAATATCTATTAAAGTCAGCTCCAAATTTTCATCCAATTACATTTTTCTCTCTCTGTTACACAGTGCTATTCGCTATTACACATAATTTATCTTTCGTGGGAGACAAGAACTTCACCTGACTATTGGCTACACTCTCCATGACTATAGTTCTAGAAGATTTAATTAATTAGGGACATGGGCTGCTGATGTGAGATACCAAAACTATTAAAAATGAAATTTAATATGCTTTAAGGCTCCTTCTTTCAGCATCTTCCATGTCACTGTCACACACCCCCCACAGTGTCAGACTAAGGAAATGGCTATTATCATCAACTTAATGCTTTTAGTGGTATAAAAGATAAATACAAAACTGCAGAGATATGCGAAACCTATGTGACTCATCTGTAAACTCTATACTGCGCCACAGTGTGGAGGTTGGTTTCTTCACTTCAGAATGCAGATGCTGAGAGATGGCAAATCACAACAATTTTGTGCTAATTCATATTTGCCTCATAACTCACGCCCTCCTAAAATAAAGCTAAATTATATGTTTAATCTGCAGAGAGACTAAGAGTAACAAAGAAGTAAGAAACATGGGTTGATTTCACTCAAAAGTAGTTTCAAATTGTCACAGATACGTTTATAATTAATTTCCAGAGTAGTAACTGTGTTTAGTCTGCTGCAGCCTCGTGGCATCTCAAAGACTAACCAAACTTATAATTAATGCGAGCAAATGAAAGACAGCACTTGTGTGCACATGCATTTGCATGTAAAAAGGAAAAGCATTCAACTGAGTGGATTTTGCAAAGCACCAAGTGAGCAAGCTGGTCAACTGGCTAATCAAACAGTATTGCTAACTCAGTCTCCTATTATTTCACAGCAGTCAAGTCCTTCAGGATGCCAAGAATGCTCTTGTGTAGGTCGCTGCCTACCTTTTCATTTGCATCCTGGTGTGACATTTGATGGTAATGGGGAGTGTAAGGGCCCTTTGCTCTCAAGCTCCGCATACACACCACCCACTCACCCCTTATTTAAGAGCGGACATCCTTAGCCCTAAACAACATCCATGGCAATATTTAGAAACTGACTTTATATTTCATACAAAAGTACCTGAAAGCAGAAATTGCTCTAAATATTTGAGAGTGTTTTCTTGTGTCGTGCTTTTTACTGGGATACAGAATGCAAAATAGAAAATATGTGCTTTGCAGGACAAGTGAGAAGTTTCATCTGTACAGAAACAACTATTTTTGTTGTTAAATACACGTGAGAAGCTACTGGGAAAAGACTAGGCCCCTAGCTTCTTCTTTTTACATACATTTGCTTTTTCACTTGCTTCACTAGAATTATGCCTGTACTTTGTATCAGTGAAAGTACAACAATATAGTACAGCAAACTATCACGATCACATTATCAAGGAAGATATTCAGCAACATAGAGTGGAATCAGACAACCATTTATCAAATGTGAATGAAATCATTTTGTGAGCTGGTTGTCTATCATCCTGCCAAATAGAAAAGAGAACTTTGCCCACGTATCAGAGGCAAACATTCTTCAGGATCTTTGTTATTAGCCAATTCAAAAAATGGTTCATGGTTTGAAGCATAACTTGAAAACATGTTCAAGTTAAATAATTCCATCTAGCTAACTGGGTCTTTGTGAGTTGTTCTTGCTATTTCCTGTTCCACATTCTGATGTCCCTGCTATTTCCTGTTCCACGTTCTGATGTGGGCTGTGTTCCCACCTCAGAATAGGAATCAGATATGTAGAAAAAAAGAAGAGACAATCCCTAGGACTATGTTGTCTCTCCCATACATGGGATTTTCCAGAGTAGAGAAGAGGTCATGGAAGAATTTCAGCGCATGGGACTGTTGAATTAAAAAGGCTCAGTACCCAAGATCATGACACTCCTGACTGTCCTAAATGAATTGACAAGCAAGAATAGCCAGTGATCACTACCTGTGGACAAATATTTTGTGGGTTACTGAGCCTATAATAATTCCTGGGTGCTGGATAAATTGGTTGCATCTGGTTATTTTACCAGTTGATCAAGGTCCTCTAGTATAACTGGGCTCCTGATACGATGCTATGTTGATGAGAAGATAATTTAGAAAAGGATATATGTGAATAGTCATTTAGTGGAGATGAGCTACTATCTAAACCAAAATATTGGTTAATTTTCTGGGGGCAGAGGGGGCTGCACTGTGTTGGAGGAATCAGTGTTGTAGGACTCAGGTGCTCTTCATGCACAAGCAGAAACATGTCTACTAGTGCAAAGCCTCCTGTGGTGAGGCTGGAAGAGATGCTGAGGCTGTTTTTCTCCCCACCCATGTCAGGAGGGTGAGGTTGGAAGAACAGAGGCAGGAGACAGGTTTTTTTCTGCTTTATAAGCCACAGAGAAAGAGGAAGAAAGGAAGGTGGAGGACATGGCAAAGAGAGAAACAGAAAGATATCCTCAATCCTATCCTATAATGAGCTGGGGCTTTCCAAAGCATGGGCCAAGAGAAGCTCTAAACCCTGTCCTCTGGTGTAAGAGGGGGACGAAAATGATCTAAAGGTTATGGTCTTCTGGAGGATATCCTACCACCTTTGGAAAGAACCATATACTTTGGCCCAGAATATAAATGCACTGAAATTCTGACAGTTCTAAATATGGCTAGTATATTCTTACACAATACACACACGTTAAACATCTGACCTACACAAAGCACACTATAGGAAGTGCATGGGAAGCAGACAGAGAAAGAAGGTAACTCCAGCAACTGTATCCTCCTGGCACTGATGCAGCCAACAGGCCCCCAGGCTCTGTACTAAAAATTCATTTTCATATGTCTAATTAAAGTCCCTTCTTCAAAATCAATTGTCCCAACTTTACCGCACAGACTAATTTTGCTTTCATAAATACAGAAGAGGAAATCGGTAAGACTCAAAGCCTCAAGGTAGAGAGAGAACCTTCTCCCAAACAATCAAAATAAATAAGGGAGGAAAGGAAGAATACATGAAACACCTTCCTTTTTGTTTGAGCTTCATCTGGCTATCTTAAGAATGAAAAATCAGCACAATAGTTGGTAAGGGCTGGAGGAGATTCCACCCAACACCTGCTGTTGCAGTTGGCTTAATAGCAGTCCTTTGCTAGATTTGACAATTACACCCACATTCCCCTGTGAGGGATTAATTGTTTGCTAAAAATAAAAAGAAGATTTGCATTTCAAGTGAACTGCCTGAGCAGTGTGCTATTTCACAGAAGGTGAAATTAATCAACCTTCTTGCTGATGAACCCAGATTTTATTTCAGATGTCCAGACTTAAATTGAACCCAACAAAAATATGTATTTTAGTATGTTCTACAGCTCACTAGAACAACACACAGTAATAAAATTAACCATATACCATGGCAGTGATGAGAAACCTTCTGCCCACAGGCCTAATTTGGTCCACAAGGTGTTGTCAGGTGTGGGACAGGTAAAGGTGCCTGAAAAAACCTGTACCTTTGCAAATGGTACCAATCAGATAATAGGTGATCATTGCAGTTATACAGAAGGGAGTTGCAAGAGCCAACTATCAGCTGTGCCTACAAGCACCATGATGGTCGCTGCCTGAAAAGGCACAACGGGGATTGGCAAGCACTGACAATCAGCCGATTGGTGGTGCCTGCAAAGCCCTATACATTGGCTCAAACAGTTCAATATCAAACCATGTGAGAAAAGGAAAACAAATCACCTGATGTCCATCAGTCATTTTTTTGTATGCCACCTTTCCAAAGTTAAAACCATGTTCAAGGTGGCTTACAACATATAAAAACTACACAGCTACAAATATAACAAAACTAGTCATAAACAATAAACAAAACTTCAAAAAGTATGCAACAAAATCAAACAACTTCCACATAGATCCTAAGATCCAAAATAAAGATATAAAATATTAACAACAGCAGCAACAACAATCCCCGCCAACAACCCTCCTAAACAATCCCCTAGTCCAAGATACTGTTCAGCGGCCTCAGCTCTCGTAGTGGAGTCAGTCAAGGACCTACCCTCCTGGCCAGGTGGAAAAAGGCCTGCAAGGCAGGGAGGGAGCAGGACTTCCAGGACTTGCAACCAAGATGGCACTGTACCATCTGTTGACTGACAATCCTGCCCATCAGTCGAAGCTGGGGCACAGGAGTAAGGAGGTAAGGATCTGGCCTGCTGGCCTAAACCATCCTATGGGTTGGAGCCAGAATTCCCCTTCACAAATGGAATACCCGTTCTATTCTTCATTACACCCTGAAGGCTTCTGAACCAGCAGGGGGATCCTGGGGGCTGAAGGAGTGGGAGGCAACACTTGACGATTCCCCTCTCCTCCTGTAGTCCTCAGTGTCATTTCCCACAATGTTCCCCAACTCTCCAGAGCATGTTTTCAGAGAATGCAATGCAACAGGCTGCAGTGGAAGAGGAAAACCAGCCAAGGTCGCCTCCCTCTCCTTCTATTTGTAGAACCAAAGTCTTGATTTAAGCCTAGGAATTAAGCCAAATGGTTTCACATGTACACATATGGATCTGGCATATAAGAGGTACAATGGGAAAGAAAGAAGCACCTACTATAGCTTCATGGCATCCTGGCAAATTCATGAACTTCATTTTCAGCATCCACACAGTAAAAAGTAAAACCTAGAGAAAACAAACAATATGCCACTATTACAAAACGTTCAGGGGACAATCAGTTGTTACAAATGACAACAACAATGATAATGCAAATCAAGAAGAAAGGGTGGAAAGGCTAAGTCGATGTAAGAGAAACAATTTCCAAAAATCCAGGGACAGGGTTCAAACCAATTGGGTGCAAACAGAGGGCAGACGTATTTAATTCAAAACAACTATTCACTTCATTTTGTAAAAATCTATTCACTGTTTTTGAACTCCTGAAAACATATATGGTTGCCTGAGGATACACACTGGAATGCCAACCAATACAAGAGGCATACTTTGTACTGAGTATAGTGATACCTTGCTATTTGTGTGTGTGTGTGTGTGTGTGTGTGTATTTATATAGTGTGTGAGAGAGAAACCACAAAACAATCCCTTCAATAGATGCCTAGACATATTTCACAAGAGCAAAATATGTGGGAAATTGGATAGAGCTTAGAATATTTGGCTGGTTTATTTCATTTATATCCATACTTCTGTCTCAAAGGAGTCACTCAAGGTGGCTTACGTCAGTAAAAAATACAAAACAATAAAACCATGATATTTTGAATTATACTGGGAGAAAAGAGAGAGCAAGTTAAAAAAAAAATTAACAAAAGTAAACAAAATCAACCAGCCACCTGGGAAGACAAATGGCTGTCGGAATAATAACAAGCCTTCACAAGGTGATGCAAAAGCATCAAGCAGGGAGCCAACTAAACCTGCCTAGGCTGAAGTCCCCCATTCTGGGCGCAACCACAGATGGATGGAAGGTGGTCTGCTCTTGATGGGGTTAGACTCCCTGTGAAGGAGTGGCTTGGGGGTACTTCTGAATCCATTGATGTCACTTGAGGCTCAGGTGGCCTCAGTGGCTCAGAGTGTCTTCCATCAGCTTCGACCGGTGGCCCAGCTGTGTCCACAAGCAGTATTAGCATCACATTAATTTTGCTTGGCACTGCAGAGCCTGCTGGCTTGTTTGGCATGTATAAAATATCACCAATATTACAATTCAAAATGTGAGCTTATGCAGGTGCCAGGTAGCCTGACAAACAGTGTGTGGAACCTGTGCCTTGGCCAGTTTTAAAATCCACAACGTACATATGGCATTTTTAAGCCTAGCTCTCATCACACCCTGAAGTAACAGCCTTATTGCTTCTGTTTAAAAAGTTTCATCTAACAGGAGGACAATAAGAGAGCAGAACTTAATTAAAGAGAGAAAGGCTGTGATATTTAAATGAAAAAAGAGCTATGAATATTCTATTGACTGTAAAGATCACTCGAGGTATCAAAAGCCAGGACCAATATACTGGCAGAATACAAACTTAGTTGACATTCCAAGGAATTACCAAATTAATCAAAATGTGTTGGTATGAGATAAAAATTCTATACAATATGTGAGCTCAAAAGGGCATTAACCGAACCAATTTCTTGAAAATAGTACAATTTTAGAACAGAAATCACTTTATTTTAGATTTCCTTTTAGTGGCTAAATAGCCTTATAGAAAAAAGGAACCCAACACAGGCATATCTAGGGGAAGGACCACCTCAAATCCTATTCCGGTTTCCCATTTCTCCAGTGAGAAGTCTTGACGACTTGTTGCATGTTGATTTTGTTTACTGTGAGTTTCAAAAAATGCATTGCTACATGTAACCTGTCTTCAAGCGATTTCTATTCTGAAATATGCCACTAATTTGATGCTTTGCATCACCAAAATAAAAACACTTTTACTGAGAACATTTCCAACACAGATCTAATCCTACTTTGTACATCTTAACCAACCTACTCGGAGTTAAATACCATCTATGCATCATTTTCATATAATTCTCTTTCAAAGTATAGGTAAAGGTAAAGGTACCCCTGCCTGTGCGGGCCAGTCTTGACAGACTCTAGGGTTGTGCGCCCATCTCACTCAAGAGGCCGGGAGCCAGCGCTGTCCACAGACACTTCCGGGTCACGTGGCCCGCATGACAAGCTGCATCTGGCGAGCCAGAGCCGCACACGGAAACGCCGTTTACCTTCCCGCTAGTAAGCGGTCCCTATTTATCTACTTGCACCCGGGGGTGCTTTCGAACTGCTAGGTTGGCAGGTGCTGGGACCAAACAACGGGAGCGCACCCCGCCGCGGGGATTCGAACCGCCGACCTTTCGATCGGCAAGCCCTAGGCGCTGAGGCTTTTACCCACAGCGCCACCCGCGTCCCCTTCAAAGTATAACATGTAGTAAATTTCAAATAATTCTTTCAGAGTTTCCCCCAGAAGTTTAGGTCTATGTTATGTCCTATGTCCATTGCCCAGTGTGTCCTTAAAGCTTTGACTAATGCATCTTTCTTTTCCCATTCCAATAATGTTATACATTTTTTACAATAGTTTATCCTTATTCCATAATAGTTCTCTTTCAAACTGTGAGCTTTGATCTGGAAACCCATTTTTTAAATCTAATTTGAACATATCATATATTTGATGATACTGTAACCAATCCATAATTAAGCTCCTTACTTTTCCATTGGTTTCAATCTAGGTCCGCTCCCTGTGAATTCCAACAGATCTCTGTTGTGGCCCATTGCCTATCCATGTTAATTCTCTTGATTGTGATTGCTTCAATGTGTGATAACCATAAGGGGTTTTTTTTCCTTTCCAACAAGTTTGTACCAAACTCTATACAAATTTATTCTGATGTGGTTTGCAAAACTTTTATAAATTTTTGCTTTTCCATACCAAAGACATGAATGCCAGCCAAACTTTAAATCATGGCCTTCCAAGTCTAAAATATATGAATTTTCCAATACAATCCATTCTTTTAACCAACATAAACAAGCTGCCCCATAATACAATTGCAAGTCTGGCAGAGCAAAGCCTCCTCTCTTTTTTTATCAATCAAAATTTTATGTTTAATCCTAGACTTTTCCCCCTGCCAAACTTAGAAATATCTTTTTTCCATTCTGAGGCAGCTTAAGTTGTTGACAAAAGAATCAATTGGAATAAAAACATCTTAATACATTCATTTAAATGGCTGAAATTCTACCTAATAGGGAAATAATTCTTTTCCGTATCTCTATCTCTTTTTTAATGTCTTTCCACAGTTTAATATAATTATCTTGAAATATGTTGAGATTTCTCACTGTCAGCCAAATCCCCAAATACTTCTTTTATTTTTACCTATTTTTAGGCCAGAATACCTTTCCAAAATCTCTTTCGACTGCTCACCTATGTTTTTAATCAACATTTTAGTCTTTTCTACATTTATTTTAAAGCCTGCCACTTTTCCAAACTTTTTAATTTCCTCTAAAAACCTTGGGAATGCTTACGTTAGGTTGTTCCACTGTTAAGACCACACCCTCCTCAAAAGCCTTTAATTTATAAGTTCTACACCCTAGTTCTATACCCTTAATATCTTTGTTTCCCCTTATATTCTGCAACAGTATTTCCAACGTTGTAATAAACAATAATGGGGATAGAGGGCAGCCTTGTCTAGTTCCCTTCTTTATTTAATAATCTGAGAGATTATTATTTACTAATATTCTTGCAAACTGCTCAGTATATATTGCTTTGATTCCTGCTAAGAAAGCCGAGAAGTTTGTTTTCTTGCTCTGTTTATCCCCACATTTTAACTCACTCCATCATCCAGAATACCTCAAATTCATGCATGCATATCGCTACCACATCCTCAGTCACGGAGTCTTGAGTAGGTTCTTCTCACAAAATTATCTGTACAGAGAATGCTAACACAGGGGTGGGGAATGTCACCTCCTGCCCCCAACAATCCTGTCCCTACCATGCATACCCCATAAGTTTCTTATGTTATAGAAAGGTATTATCCTGCAGGTATTATCCTAGGTATTATCCTATTATCCTAATCCTGCAGGATTAGGTCAAAGGCCCATAGTCCAGCAGCCCGTACTCACAGTGGCTAGCTAGGTGTTCACGGGAAGCTCAAAGTCGGATGTGAGTGCAACAACACTCTTCCCACTTGAGATTCCCAGCAACTGTTAGGCAGAGACCTGCTGTGTTATCCAGGTTCCTGATCATGAGGCGGCTCCTAAGCATGTTCAGCTGACTGCTCTTAGAAGGTCCCTTTAGACCTTCCTGCTCAACACAGGAGGGTTGATGGTACAGCATTCATGGCTGACACACACAGCTCTACAGAGCTTACTCACCTTGTCATTACAGGTATATCATCTGATTAGCACGACAGTGTCACAACATTGTTTACCTTATTAGAATTCTAATGCATCATTTGTCATATGACACAGCTCTTTAGGAGAGAAATCTCAAAGATATATACATTAAATTTTTATTATTTTCATTATTCATCACAAGCCAGACATATAACAACACAAAATTATTTAAGTTACGGGCTTGTACATAGCAAAGTACAGTAAAGAAGCAAGGAAAGTATCCACCAATGTAATATTATGAGAACTCCCATCTTATCACAAGGTTCCTGTGCTTCATGCATTACTCACTTTCAATGTTTCCCCACATGGCCTCTCCACATAGGCGTCTGAGAGACTTTAAATTGCTAAATTTCAAGAATCCATATGTTGTTGGGACAGCTAAACGTCTATCTATTGAAACAAGAAGGTACCTGAAAAGAATAAAATAATTGCTAGATACTTCCAGAGGAAAGTGGCTGCTATATTCTGCGAGTCTCATCACAACTTTCTGGGCACAGAAACCTATTTATTTGACTAAATAATGAGTTTAAGAAGATAAAACAACATTACTGCACTATTGTGATTCTGCTCTGCTTTCCAGCTGCCAGTTTTAGACATGGTGGATTTAGAAACAGAGGCTTCTAACAGACTGTGTTTGATTGTCAGCATCTTTGTCCTCTTACAAGTTCCTTTCCCCCTATTCCTTGAAAGCACATATCCTGTTAGAAACAGTATGTGGCTGGCTGCCAAAGAAAGTTAAATAGATGCACTTGACTTAAAATATATTGGTTATCTACCTGTGGAAAATTACTTCTCCACATAGAACAAATGCCCCTAACAACTCATCCCCATCCATCCATCCCATTGCTTCGCAACCTTCCCTATACAGTGGTACCTCGGGTTACATATGCTTCAGGTTACATACGCTTCAGGTTACACACTCCGCTAACCCAGAAATAGTGCTTCAGGTTAAGAACTTTGCTTCAGGATGAGAACAGAAATCGTGTTCCAGCGGCGCAGCAGCAGCAGGAGGCCCCATTAGCTAATGTGGTGCTTCAGGTTAAGAACAGTTTCAGATTAATAACGGACCTCCGGAACGAATTAAGTACTTAACCCGAGGTACCACTGTATCTGACACTACTTCCCACACCTCATTCCTCTCATTCTTCCCCTCCACATCTCCATGCTGTATCATCTTCCTTCTCTCTGGGACCAAGTGCACTGCAATACACTTTCAACATGGTGGAGTCCCAGTACAGATCTCCCCGCCTCTCCTCCGTTAAATAATAAAACCAAAATACATTAACTACGCTGTCTAGCTTGGCCTATATAGATAGGGAAGTGACACTTTCAGGTTTAATTCACTAACATCCAGTGTATAACGCTGTATGTTGTTGCAAAGAATGGAACCTTTTACATACTTTGTTAGCAAGAATTATGAGTAATTTTCTTCAATTTTCAATTGCAACTATAAAAAAATACATTTCTTAGTCCAAAACCCCCAAAACCACTTGGGTTCATTAAGAAAAGTAGAAAGACTTTTTACCAACCACTGTTTTTAGTAAGGACTAAGAAAATAACTAGTAATAATAGATGATATTTATTCAAATTAAAAATCAAATAAATTTAGGCTGCAATCCTATACAAACACACTTGGGATAAGTTCCCTTGAACCCAAGGGGGCTTACTTCTGAGTAGACATATACACTTTGAATTACTTAACAATTGCCCTTATTGCTGAATTATGTACAGGGTGCAGTCTTCTCTCCCAAATACAAAAACTGTTATTAAAAACTATATGGGAGCTTTATATGGTTATCAATTTTCTCATGTTTGCAGGATGTTTTAAATTGTTTCTCTCTATTAATAAGATAATGGAGTATGTATACGTATGATTGAGTTCATTTTTATTATTATTAATGTCATACTGTAACCTACAATGACGAGTGCCTTAGCCTGAAATGCACCGTGATCTGATGTTTTCTGCTGAAGTCACTTGATACCCATTTTTTTTAATTATGTGGGTTTAGTCTTCCAGCTCAATTAAACTTTCAAGAAACAACTGGCATACTGGGAGTTGGGATAAAGATGCACTCTGCCCTGCTAAACATTTTAGGCATCCTGGTGAATTGCCCAAAGCCCTAGTGTGTGAAGTTGCAATTATAAGAAGTTAGCAATTTAGGTCAGAAGCAGGGAATGGATTTATTCTGGACTAATTAATCCAGATTTAGTGTGGTTTTTACAAGTGCCTGAAGGGCTCCAAGATAATGCAGAAGGCGGACTGGAAGTGTGAATGGACTGAATTCTAGTTTAAAGCAAGCAGGTTGCAACACATCCCTTCTATTGCTAAAATGATTAGTGGAGTGCTATTTTCTCCAGGCAAGAATGTCACCTCTTAGGAGGCACCACACTGGAGCCAAAAAATGAATGAAGCACAGCTTTTCAAACTGAGTCTCTTATCTAACCACTAAATCAAGAGTGTAATGCTTAATGAATTGAAGATATCTACAGGCACCCAGCTGGCAACTTTACAAGTCCCTGCTGCAGAAATTCATGCAAGGCTGGAACAGAGCAGGTCACAGCGCTCACGAAGCGAGTCCCAAACCCTTTGAGTATATTTCTGGGTAACCTTCTGTAACTGCAAAAGAGAATCCAAGGAATCTGCTTTGCATAGGTATGTACAACGTACTTTATTAATTATATATTAGGTAGGGTTCGTGAGAACAAAAGAATTCTACCAGTGAATGAGCTGAACATTGGCAGGTTAATATTAGGCAAGCACCTGATTTGCAAACAGTTTAACACCACACTGAAACCCACTGTATGCAACATGTTCAGAGCAAAAGAATTTGTGCTCCAATATTCTATACTAGGAAGGTCTTTATCCTTGATTTTTTTTTAAAAAAAAGAATCATATATTTTTAGAAATATTTATTTATTAGTGGAAATACTAACAAGAATACAGTTAGATAGGTGGGCTTCATGAGAAAATAAGTTCGATTAGGCAGTGGCTGTGAATTCCTATGAGTGGCAGATAACATTACAATAAAGGGGAAGGGGGAGAAAAACCTTCAATGGAAGTGAAAAGTTGTTGGTGTGTGTACAAAAGCTTCCAATTATTATTCAGACTAAATATATACACCGCAGAGACCTTTTAAAAATGCTCTTTACTATGAACTATAAGCATGTGCCATAAAGCATCTTATATACAGTGGTGCCTCGCAAGACGAAATTAATTCGTTCCGCAAGTCTCTTCGTCTTGCGAGTTTTTCGTCTTGCGATGCACGGTTTCCCATAGGAATGCATTGAAAATCAATTAATGCGTTCCTAGGGAAACCGACTTCAGACCAGGTCCGGGGACAGTCTGTCCCCCGACCTCTTCTGAAGGCTGGGGGGGGGGGACAAGGGCTTTTCTTCCCACCCCCAGCATTTTAAAAAACCCCGGGACAGCGGAGGACGTCTCCGCTGTCCGGGGCGATCTTAAAATGCTGACGGGCGGCATTTTAAAATCACCCGGGACAGCGGAGGACTTCTCCGCTGTCCGGGGCGATTTAAAAGCCCCTGGGAAGGCAGGCCGGGGGGACAAAGACTTTCGCCCCCGCCAGCCTTCAGAAGAGGTCCTGGACCTCTTCTGAAGGCTGGCGGGGGGCGAAAGTCTTTGCTCCCCCCGCCTGCCTTCAAAAGCTGTCCGGCCCAGGCTTCGCGGACCTCTCCGCAAGCAGCGGCAGCGCTGCCGCTGCTTGCGGACAGGTGCCAGCATGCCGAAGCCTGCGCGCGCTGAGATCAGCGCGCCCAGGCTTCCCGCCCCGCCTCCCGGCATCGGGGCATCGTCCCGATGGCGGGCGGCGGGGGAGGCGTCCTGCCCCCGCCGCCCGGGATCGGGGCATCGTCCCGATGGCGAGCGGCGGCGGAGGCGTTCCCCCCCCCGCCGCCCGGGATCGGGGCATCGTCCCGATGGCGGGCGGCGGGGGGAGGCGTTCCCGCTCCCCGCCGCCCGGGATCGGGGCATCGTCCCGATGGCGGGCGGCGGGGGGAGGCGTTCCCGCCCCGCCGCCCGCCATCGGGGCATCGTTCCGAAGCCCGGCGGCGGCGGGAGGAGGTGTCCCCGCCCCGCCACCAGGCTTCGGAGGAGGTCCAAGGACAGCGGGGAAGACGCGCTGCGCTTCCCCGCTGTCCCGGAGATTTCCCTATGGGCTGTCGTCTTGCGAAGCAAGCCCATAGGGAAATTCGTTTTGCGAAGCGCCTCCAAAACGGAAAACCCTTTCGTCTAGCGGGTTTTCCGTCTTGCGAGGCGTTCGTCTTGCGAGGTACCACTGTACAGCTGAAGAGGATACAATATTTACATTCCCGCCTTCAGATACGATTTGAAGAAAATGTTTAGAAGTTATAACTTAATTGAAAGTAATTGGAAATAGTTACCCAGAGACACAGTTAAAGATGATGTAGTGTAGTCTAGCTATAAAAGGGAGGAATTGCCCATGTTCTCCCAGCTTGGGGAACTATGGTCTGTTTAAACTAGGGAATGGAAACAAACCGGAATCTGAAAACATGGTTTGCTCTTGTTGGTTGTCAAACACAACACAGGTTAAACAAGCCACAATTCCTGAAGTTTGATCATCACGGGAAACTATGATCTCAGGCAGTGACCATTTTGCACACGTCCAATTGATGTGTGGGTCCTTTTGGACGTGGTAGAAGGCTGAATGGGGGGCGGAACAGGCTTATGTGTACTCCACCGACGTGTGCGAGGGCCAAGAACGGACCCCCCCCCCATGCAAAGTGGGTGCCACCTGTAACATAAAATCAAAAGCAGAACTTTTGACAGAAAAGAAGAAGAAAGAAGCATATAAGCCCAAGCATTATGCAAACTGGTGTAGGTAGTGTACTAGGGTTCTATCCAAAGTAGTACCGAAGTAACATGTCATTAATATAAGGATTTATACTTGTGCACCCGGAACTGGTCTGTGACCGTAATAATAAAATAAAATTCAATTCAATTCAATACTTGTGCAAAAGGACTTTCCCCATCTCCTCCCCTAAACCTCTTCTAGTGGTTCCCCCAAATGTCCAGAGAAGATCTGGGGCTGGATGGGGAAATCCTTGTGCTGACAGGACGTGTTTGTTGTATACTGTCCCAAATCACAAATTCATGAACTCACAGGACATCTTAGGTAAATCATCCTAATTGACAATATGGGGATAATATGAGGCTTACTGAGATAACGTGTGAATAACTATTTGAAAACTTGAAATGGGCTATATAAATATTTATTGTTATATTAAGTATTCCATTTACACAAGCACTGCCACTGTAAGATTCTTTGGAACAGTACAAAAAAAACCCCATGAAGGTGACTTTGTACTAAGCTGAGAAGCTTCAAGGAGGGGGGGGGATCTCTAGTTGCTGTGTCAGCATGGCATAATCAGCTAT